GTCGCCTTGCCTAAAACCAAATTTGGTCTCAAACGGAGCGGAGAGTTTATCCAAATTTGGACCGATACTAAAAGTGGAGCTCAGAGTCAACAAGCTTTGCAAATTTAGGCAAAGCGTCAAAGAGTCAGCTTTCCTTCGGGCTATCAAAATCGACGAAAAGGGTAAAGTCGACGCGCTGTCCAAATCAAGGCCAAAATCGCTTAGCGATTACAGCCCCAAATAAGAAGAAGAAGAAATACTAGTAATTTTTAGCAAAAAAAAAACCGACTTCAACTCCCATATAAAAAAAAAATATATATATATATCTCATGATCCGCTGATCGGATCTTAACCAGATTAGTATGGGACCACCTCTGAGACACTACCTTTCCGATGCAAAAAGAATTATCGAAATCGGTTGACGTGGTCCAAAGTTATGCGGTAACATACATAAAAAAAAAAAAAAAAAATATTCCGACGAACTGATAACCTCCTCCTTTTTTGGAAGTCGGTTAAAAAATATCACAACAAAGTGGATGTAACGCGAGATCTGTTCCGAAAATATTTTTTTACGAGGATTCTAAAACGATGTACTTCAAAATAACCTTGAAGAGTGTTGCCACCTTTTAAAAATATTAAAATCAATATCTACAATTATTAAGTTGCATGAAATATTTTTGTCTGGGTATTAAACTAGAGAGGGTTAAGAAAACTTTATTTGAAAAATGATTCTTGAGAGTGTTGCCATCTGTTTTGAAGCTCATAATCATTTTAATTAACAAGTTAAGTGAGGTATTTTGTATGGGAATCAAATAAACGAGAATCCTAAGAAAGCTTCATATCGAAAAAATTGTTGATGAGGGTCGCCACCTGTTTGGTAATTCAAGATCAGTTTATGTAATGGTTTAATTAAATATTTTATTAAATGCATCAAATGAGAGAAATTCAAGAAAGGTCTATTTCGTAACTACTTTTGAGGAAGGTGGCCACCTGGTTAGAAATTCAAAATCAAAATTAACAAGGTAAATAAACTATTTTAATATAGGTGTCGAACGAGAGAGATTTTAACGAGGTTTATTTCATAAATATTTTTGAAGATATGTCAACTCTTTGTTTAAAAACTAAAAATATATTTTGTCAAGTTTAATGGAATATTTTCATATGGGTGTCAAACTAGATAGGTTTAAAAAAGTTTCATTTAAAAAATATTTATATAAGATAGTTGCCACCTGTTTCGAAACTTGACGGAGGTTGCCACCAGGTTAAAAATTCGAAATCAACTTAATTAACAAGGTATATGAAATATTTGGATATGAGTGTCAAACGAGAGAGATTTAAAAAGTATTTATTGCAAAAATGTTTTTCAAGATGGTTGCCACCTGTTTAAAAGCTCTAAATCATTCAGTAGTTAAATTAAGTATTTGCATACGGGTGTCAAAATAGATAGTTTTAAAAAAGTTTCATTTAAAAAATATTTTTGAAGATGGTTGTCACCTCGTTAGAAACTCCAAGTCAATTCTAATAAGTTAGGGTTAAGTATTTTGATATGGGTGTCAAACGAGATAAGTTTAAGAAAGGCTTGTTTCGGAACTATTTTTACGGAGGTTTCCACCCGGTTAAATATTCAAAATCAACTTAACTAACCAGATAAATTAAACATTTTAATAAAGGTGTCGAACGATAGAGATTCAAAAATAATTCTAAAGATGGATGCCACCTGTTTAGAAACTCCAAAGAAATTTTATTAAGTTGAATGTAATGTATTTTTATGGCTGTAAAACGAGACAGGTTTAAGTAAAGTTTATTACTTAATAAATTTTGAAGCTTTATTTTTAAAATACTTTTGAAGAGGTTCTACCAGTTTAAAAAATCCAGTTATATACTGGACTAACTTGCCAGAGGTACGCCGACGACATTGTAACAATATGCAGGGGGAAATTCGAAAACAACCTGGGGCTGAATGTAAATCCAGGAAAGAGTTGGGGCTGCACACCAAAGATACTGAGATGGATCTACACGACAATAGTATGACCCATGATAGCTCATGGAGCCATCGTTTGGGTCGATAGAACTTCACAACTTGGACCAATCAAAGTGCTCTCCAAGATACAAAGGCTGGCATGCGTATGCCTAACGGGAGCCATGAGAACTTGTCCAACCGTATCCTTGGATGTTCTATTAGATCTTACCCCTCTTCATATTAACACACAGACTTAGGCGAAGAGAGCTTTACTACGAATGACTGATACCAATATTGGGGCAGCAGGGTGTCTTAGTCGTGGGAAGTTGCGTATTGTTACGAAAAAGTTCCCTGAAATTGCAATACCGAGGGATACCATGCATCCGAGGTTAAGCTTTACAAAAAGGTTTAATACTGATCTGAGTAATAAGAAGAGCTGGTCAGGCATATCCGAGACATATCGGATAAACCAAAACATGATTACCTGGTATACTGATGGCTCATTGACCGACGAGGGTACCGGGGTAGGAGTAGTTGGACCGAGATTAAGATACTCGGAACCCATGGAAAAACATATGTATATTTTCCACGCTGAAACATACACCATAGAAAGATGCGCGGACTTTAATATCAAGCGAAACTACCGCAATCAGAACATCGCGATCTTGACTGACAAGCTATCAAGGCCCTCAGATCTCACCAGGTAACATCTAAACTGGTGATGGAGTGCCTCGCTAAGCTGAATACTCTTTGTCTGTACAATCGGATTTGGGTTCTCTGGATTCCGGGACATATTGGTATTAAAGGAAACGAGATTGCCAATAAACCTGCGAAGAAAGGTGCATCAACCCCTTTCACCGCCCCACAGCCTTTCTGCGGCTTGGGAAAAGGGGCACTCTCTGAACTAGTTCGGCTAGAGGAAGAGGCTCAGAGGAATCGCTACTGGGATAATCTACCAGGTGTAGAGCAGTCCAAAGCACTTTTAGGAACATATAACCTAAAACGCTTCGAGGAATGTACGAGCTTATCAAAGAATAACTTAAGAATTGTTACAGGAATCTGTGTCCTGTCGACACAGCAGGCTGAACTATCACCCAACTAAACTGGGAATTTACTCGCATGAGCGATGCAGATTTTGCAAGGATGGAAAACGAGACTGCACAGCACATCTTAGAAGAATGTCCTGCACTGATGCATGAAATCCGTGGATTTAGGTTCCATACTAAAGTTTCTCTCGGATACTGCATTAATGGATACATTATAATCCATTAAGGGGGCATTGATTTGCTAAAACAAAACGATTTTTTTTTTAATTTTTATGCTTAAGTTCGGTAGAAAACAATTTATTCAACAACAACTAGTAAAAAGTAACAATTTTCAATCTAATTTAATTGGATCACAAATATATGCAGCGAATTTATTTACCAACCCCAGTGAGTGCCGAAACCATCGAAGCTCATGTGAGAGGAAGTCTCAGCTGGAGAGTAATGCACTGCGACAGGTGCGGCATGATGGTAAACGGGAGCAGGAGCAGCGTAGGACACAGTCTTCGCAACAGCTGGGGCAGCATACGTCACAGTTTTGGCAACAGGTACCTCGTGCTGATACACAGGAGCAGGTGCAGCGTAGGTGACAGTCTTGGCGACAGCTGGCGCCGCATAGGCTAGAGTTTTAGCAACTGGAGCGGAGTGTGCATAGTAAGCGGTTGGAGCTGGAGCAGCATAGACCGCTTTAGCTACAGCAGGCGCTGCGTAAGTGACAGTCTTGGCTACAGCAGGAGTGTATACATTATTGCTGACGCGAGTATCCGATTTGTGAACGCTGGAGTAGGGAGTTTCAATGGTCTTCGAGTACTGTGAGACAGTTCCATCGAAATTGCGTACGACGTTCTGGTGGCTGGAGGCGACGGCATCGACGGCGGGATTAGCGTAGTGGGCGTAGGTGACGGGCTGCAGCAAACCGGCGCTGGCAACGGCCAATAGAGCTGAGAGTACAACAAATTTGAAAGCCATTTCTATAAATTGGTTAATTGTGTGTTTGCTTTTAACTGAAATTGGTGCTGTAATGTTTGCAGTAGATTGATCGATCGGCGACTGATACTGTTTTGGTTGTAGCATGTTGCTTTTATACGATTTCAGTCAAGTGAATTTAGAAATGTGCGACTGAGCATTTGAGGGTGGCACTGCATAGACCCACAAATACGATCGTGTAGCAGGTCAGTCTTGAATAATGTGACCTTGTCTGTTACTTTCTTTTGAACATTTTTATATTACCGCTAATTGGGTTACTTTAATGCAGCAGCAAGGAAACAAGTTATTGCAAACGTATAACGAATATATTTGGTAAAATTTGATTTGTATGATTGTTATATTTCAAAATTTGTATACAGGTTTTTTACTTAAACGGCATATATCTACAAATTGGTCCAGGTTGCACTAATGGTAAATGTCGCGCCAGTGCAAAAGGCAGAAGGTTTGTTGTCTGCAAAATGATATTTTTAAGAAAACAAAAGAAATAAAAATCATATATTGCTTTCGGTATGATTTACCGATTAGTTCATATAAATTTATGTATCCAAATGATCGTTGTGTAAACAGTAATTTATTTTCACAGGGCAATTCTGGCTAAGATAGTCGAAAGTCTTTTGTAGTTAAGAGAATCGAAAGACAGCAGGCAACATAGCTTTATTTTCTTGTCTTTTTGTATTAAACGTTATTTTCATTTTAAGATTTGATTGTTTTAAAAAGAAGAAAATGGATGTATTTTTGAAAGTCTTTATTTTTTTAAAACTTATATTAATTTCTTATACTGACATTTTTCCTTCCCTTCTAGTTTAGTTTTTATATTTTATTGTTTAAAATTAAAATTTTTTTACTTCACTTAATTTTTAGAAGCATTTTTGTATTGGTTTTTTAAGTAAATTTTTTTCTTTTTAAATACATTTTCTTGAAATTCGTAAATTTTTTTGTTTAAAATATTTCAGTCCACAAGGCAGAGTTAGCAAAGCACCGGCGTTCCATTCGAGAGATCCTATGTCGAGTCCTCGGGAAAAGGATTTTTATTAACTTTTTTTTGTCTTTTTTTATTAAATGTTATTTTACTTTTTAGATTTTAATGTGTAAAAAAAAGAAAATATATGTATGTATGTATTTTTGAAAGTTTAAATTTTTTTAAAACTTATTTTATTTTCGTATACTGAGTTTTTTCCTTCTAATTTAATTTTCATGTTTTATTGTTTAAAATTAATATTTTTTTTAAATTTCACTTAACTTTTAAATAACATTTTTGTATTCGTTTTTTAAGTATCTTTTTTTTCTTTTAAACACATTTTCTTGAAATATTAAATTTCATTGTTTAAAACATTTTAATAAACATATTTAGTCGCCCCTGATGATGCTGAAAATTTCAGCGAAACGTTGGGCTGTAACAGTGGAATAAATTTGTTTTATTCGCAGTAACAATAATTAGATCAGACTAGCCTATCATAAAAACTCATTTTTTTATTTCGTTAAATTCTTAGCAATTTATTTCTTTATTTTTTGTATTAAGAAAAATTTACCTTTGCAGGCAATTCTGGCTAAGATATTTGAAATTCTTTTGTAAGACAATTGAAAGAAATGTCCCAGTTTCATTCGAGAGATCATATTTCGTCCTCGGGCAGCGGATTTTTTAATATTTTTTTTTCCTTTTTTAATTTAATTTTATTTTCATTTTTGGATTTTATTGCTTTAAAAAGAGTGAATAACTCAGTGAGAGGGGAGACTAGTATGTTTGCATGTATGTATATAAAAAAATATTTATTGGACCAAAA